GAGAGAGAGAGAGAGAGAGAGAGAGAGAGAGAGAGAGAGAGAGAGAGAGAGAGAGAGAGAGAGAGAGAGAGAGAGAGAAGCATGTGGTTATCGCACTTCATTGCCGAGTTACTAGCAACGAGCTCACTGTGATCATCGCCATTCTATGGACTGAAAGAGAAGAAACAAGTCAGAGAGAGAAAAGCACGCCTAGACAAGCATAGGACCAGCAGAGAAGCTGCATGGGCCAACAGACTTGCCAGGACATAAGGCCAAGGGGACCTAAGTAGAGAGCAGCAGCCCAGATAGGTCACCCAGAACTCATGTCTCATGGGATGGGTGTGTGCCAATCTATCCGATCATAAAAGAACATCTGCTACTTTACAAAAAAAAAAGATACAGAGCGACGCATCTGCTCTTTCCCAGCGCTGCTGGCATTCCTCCTCATTATCCTGCTTAATTGAGAAAAAAACTACCAGGAAAAAAAAAAAAAAAGAGACGGGCATATCATTGACTCTGCTTACAAGGTTAAGACCCTCGACTTCGTCGAAAGAAGGGGCAGCGAGCAGATGTGCAGGCGATTTGGAAGGAGTGGTTGAAAACTGAACAGTTGGTAGGCAGGGCTTTCAGATCTTCCCGACAAAAGATTCTTTTCGAGCCACAAAAAGGAAAACTGAAAACAAATCAATCAAACGATTGATCGGCCTTTTGATCGACAGGGCATCCGATTGTGCAAAACTTACATCCACAGAAAGAGATCGATCTTTTCCCGTCGGCCGAAAATCACTCTACCCATGCAATAGACCCTGCAATTAGTATACTGCTTGGCAAAGGGCCCGGATACGGGGCCACGTATTCAATTTGCCTCCTGCGCGACAAACAAAATGTGAGGAACGACCTTTCATCAGAGGAAGTATACAAAAACAACACCGACTCAAGGGGCACCACAACTCCAAGAGACATTAACAAAGCAAGGAGCGCAGGCAGACATTCAATGATGGCGAACCTATCCAAAAAAATGGTAAACAAGCTATGCTGGGCCGTCGCCCGGTCGGGCACGCCTGGCCAGGCACGCCCGGGCCAGTTGGGCAGAGGTGGGTTCGCCCGACAAAACCAGACGGGTAAAAAATAGGCAAGGATCCCAAATAAAAAAAGGGCTGAGTTCAGGCCAGGACTGCGCTACGCCAAAAAATCCCATTGGCCAATACAAGGGCAAGGAGCATAAACAAACAAGGAGTATAGGCAGAGATTCGGTGATGGTGAAGCATCACTATGAACATCATGTATCCGAGGTCCGTGGACCTACATAGCGAATACCGGGGGGTGGGCGTTGTTCGCAGGCGTACGACACCCTTTTCGCCCGAAAAAGTTGTTTTTTTTTGTTTGTTGGATGCGGGTTTGGGGTGTGGGGGGGTGCACACAGCGAGCGCTTCCCCGACGCACCCTCATTCTGGCTGCACCAGACCGGAAAGATAGCTTCTATACATTCATTACCAGGGTGCCTTGTGTTTGTGGAAAGATAAAAAAATGTAAACAAGCTAAGTTCCCGATCTGGTGCAGCATGTTCGGGGAAGCTCTCTCTCTCTCTCTCTCTCTCTCTCTCTCTCTCTCTCTCTCTCTCTCTCTCTCTCTCTCTCCCCAACGCGCCAAAAAAAGGTACTATCATACTACTATGCATGAAAAAAGCCCAAAAAAGTTAAAAAAACAACAAAGAACTTCCATTAAAGAAAAATATATATCCTGCATACTAGACTTTGGAGGCTGCTGCCCCATGTTCTTGTTTTTTTTTTTCAAAGCACCAGTACATGCCAGCTATCAGCCGCGTGCCCCTTTCCGAGGCCGCCCACCGCCGATTCATTTTATCAACGGTGCTCGGCCGCCTAAATTTTCAAAGAGGCTCAAAACAGTTCTCCAGTTGCCTGAGGCCATGTACTGGTGGCTTAAGCCCCGTACATTCCGTGAACAATTCATTCGCGAGTAGAGTACAAACGAGTACAACAGGGCTCTTCTACTCGCGTACAACGCGTTGTACTCGAATACAAGTTTTTTTTTTTTTTTGTACTTGAGGCATGCCCAGATGAACCATGGCAAAGCTGAGACACAGCCTTCGGAGGGTGGGTCCTTGAAGGTCCCCGAAGAGCGGATTCAGAGTCTAGACAAATGCCATACCGAGTGAAATAAAAAAACAGCGGTCAAGGTGAGGATTGTAATCACCATGGTACCATGGTAATCACCTGTGTAGCACACCGAACATGTTCGGAGCTTTCCAAACGTCCGAACATGTTCGGGTGTTCGGCCGAACGCCACCCGAACGTTGTTTGTATTATTATTTTACATAACATATATTTTTTCCAGATTTTTTGGAGAACTTTTTTTTTTTTTTTTWAATATTTTTATGTTCGCGTTCGGCGAGTTTCGGCGCTCGTTCGCGTTCGGTTCCGAACGTTTGGGTTCAATCACCGAACCCGAACACGATGCTACACAGGTAATCACCATGGTAATCAACATGGTTACGCTGACAGGATTGTAATCACCATAGTAATCACCATGTGATTACCCTAGTAATAAAATCCCTGGAAATCACCATGGTAATTACTAATTACTTATTACCATGGTAATCAACATGGTAATCAACATGGTTACACTGCCAGGATTGTAATCACCATCTGATTATCATGGTAGTTACAGTCCTCTGATTCCTCGTCATCACCATGGTAATCAACGTGGTTACGCTGCCGGGATTATAATCACCATGGTAATCGCCATGTAATTACCACAGTAATTACATTTCTGGTAATCACCATTGTAACCAACATGGCTATGCTGCCAGGATTGTAATCACTTTGGTCATGCTGCCAGCATATCATCTGGGCGAGGAGGACATCAAGTCTGTAAGCACCAGTCACATCCAGATGGAGATCCGGACTCCTCTTTTTTTTCTCTTCCTTTTTAGCTGACGATCTGGAATCTTGCCTTTTTGTACCGCCGGAAAACCCGGACAACATTGGCACGGGCGAGGAATACAGACCAGCTTCTCTGGATGACCGACCGTGTGTCCTGATGCGTCATGATTCAAAAGCAAAAGAAATAGAGTTCTCCACAGCGTTGGGCCGGCGACCAGCCGGTTGTTACATGCCCAGTTGGGCAATGTATGTATAGCCATGGATCCGCAATGTGATAAAAAGGACTGAATGGACAATGCGGTGTTTGTGGAATCCCAGCAAGCAATGCACATCCTGATACATACAAAATGGCACCTTGTAGCGCAGTGGAAGACTTAGATATAAGCCCTGACCTGACCGGGACTGACCTCTCTCACGTAGTACAAGACAGCACAGCGGAATGCTAGAATACCAATGACTAGACCAATCAATGTCGCAATGCAGACCAAACATACATCATCCTCATCACAAGGTGTGAAGGGCCTGCCGCTACACACAGGAAGAATGCGCCAGGTCCCGACCATACACAGATGAAGAGGAGGGGATCAGACGAAGAAGAGGGGGACGATGGGAATGTCGTCAACACCAAGTCTTCGGTACAAGTCCCAGATAATCCCTCGTCAAATGTCTGAAGCCCTATGTCGAGTCTGGATCCAAATGTCACCAATCCCTCTCTCTCATAGTCTGCTGATGCAGTGAAGTCAGGTAGCGAGAGTGTGAGGGGGAGATGGTGGACTGAGAAGAGGAAGAAGAAGAACTCTCTCTCTCTCTCTCTCTCTC